TTTGAGGAGTTCCTGGCCCAATTTGGGGGTCTCAGTCCAGTTTGAGGAGTTCCTGGCCCAATTTGGGGGTCTCAGTCCAGTTTGAGGGGTCCTAATCCAGTTTGAGGAGTCCCCGGTCCAATCTGGGGGTTTCAGTCCAGTTTGAGGGGTCCCAATACAGTTTGGGGGTCCCAGTCCAGCTTTGGGGGGAGGTGGGGGGGTGCCTTTGCCCCAGGCTCCCCTTAGTAATGATGAAGCCTCGCCCGGTTAAAGGAGTTGCCACTTTCACCCCGGGCCACAGGTGTCTCAGCCCCTCCCCCCCACACCTGGCCCACCTAAGCCCCGCCCCTTACCTGTCTCCCCAACCAGGAACTCCGCCCCACCTCCCAGGCGGCGCCGCCAAGCTGGCCCATCGCTCCTCCCGCCACTGGCTAATATGGCCGGGGCTTCCGCGAGCCGGGCTTTTTATAGGGGGCCACGCCTCGCCCCGCCCCCTCTGGCCCCGCCCTCCCGCCTGCCCTTCCCACCTGTAAGGTTTGGAGCCTTCGGCGCGGGCCACGCCCTCTGCTAGCTCCGCCCCTCTCTCGCTGGCGCTCTCTCTCTCTCTCTCTCTCTCTCTCTCTCTCTCTCCCCGGCCCCGCCTCCGCCATCTGCTTTGTGGGTGGCTCCTCCCACTCAGCTCTCAGCCCCGCCCACTCCGGGGAGCGGGCTTTGGCGCCCCGGTTTGGCTTTTGAAAGGGAGGTTGTTTCGTTGCCAAGGAAACGAAGGGGAAGAGCCGGGGCAGGTCACATGGCCAAGGCTCGCGCCCGCCCTCCCCCGCCACAACGTCCTGAGGCGACTTACGCCCGGCGGAAAGTAAAACGGACATTCTTTTTTCCCCCCCCGCCGCCGACTCTGAGGGACGCCGAAGCAGGCTCGCCACAGAGGCAGCGGGCCAATCAGCGCTCTCCGAGGGGCGGTCACGGAGCCGCTCTCCGCCAATCTGAGAGGGGTGTGGTGGAAGGAGGCGGAGCCTAAACGACGTTCGCCCGGCCCCGCCCCAACTCCGCGGCGCCTCTTGCCATTGGCGCGTTCGAACGGGCACGTGATGCGGAGAGGCGGAGGGCGGAGCAGGGCGGTTGCCATAGCGACGGTCGGCGGTGTCGAGACGCATCCTGACACGCGTTCGCCCTGGCTGCGTTCCCACGATTTGCGTTGGCACAAGCGGCCGCGCAGGCTCCATCCGGGGGCCAACCTGGCCTGACCGTCTCATCGGCCTGCAACCCAGCCGTCTTGCCCACCCGCCGGGCCCCACTTGGCTTCGCCGGGGAGGCTCCCAGATCGCTGCCAAGGCAGGGCTCCCCTTTGCCAGGGATGCCCCTTCCACGCGACCGGGGCTGCCCCCTTCCAGGGCGTGAGAATTCAAAACCAGGCCTTGCGGACTCCGTCCCGACGTTCAGGAGGACCAAACCCACCGTTCCCTGCCTGGCACCCATGCAAAGTACTGCAAAGCCCATGCAAGACGCCCCGCTCGCTGCTTGCTGCTCCGAGGAAGCGCTTTGATCCGGGGATCCACCCACCCCAAAACAAACCCGCCTGAAGAGTCTCTTGGAAATCAACTGTGATCTTAAAGGCATCCCCAAATCTCCTCTATTAGATCGAAACCTGTCCAGGATTCCCACCTGCATCTCAAGTCGGAGTCCTTGGAGAGGATAAACTCGGAAGCGATTCCCTTCTGGCCCTAGTCCCGTTTTGCAACATCGTTATTGGGATTTAAGGCACTTGAAGAAACAACAATAATAAAAGGCAATTTCGGGGCTGCCAAGTTTGCCATCCAAGTTGCCCATCCTTGGCACACCTTCTTCCTTCATGTGCAATTGTGCATATTTTTTTTAAAATCCTGCTTCTGCCGGATAAAATTTATTTCACAGCAACTCTTTAACAACATGGCATTTTGGACTGTGTGTATATATATATATATATATTCAACATTCTGTTTACCATTATTTATTAATGCCTATATTTAAAAAATATTACAGTTGGAAATTTATTCCAATGCGCATTAGTAAATTATGCTTGTAATTCCTAATGCATTCTTAATTATGAATTTATTCCTGCCTCCTTTTATTTATGGTTCCAATGCTCCCTCTTGCAGGGCTGCATATATAATTGGAGACACTCTTAATTAAGTATTCCTGGACATTACATGTTACAAAATATTAAGGGGGAGGAGAGGGTGTTTCAAACAGAATTATAGTGAGCAACAATTCTTCCATTACCTCTCCGTCTTCATTCATCAGCCGGCCAAGAAGCAGCAACAACACACAACACAAACTTTTGTCTTCCTAGAACAGCTTGTCCCAATGGGGGGGGGGGGGGTGTTACCTGGATGGGGCTAAAAGTTGGGAATTCTTGGAATCGCAGTTCTGTCACGTATGACTCTTGACGGATGTATCTTATCTTTTCTGTACACTGAGAGCATTTGCACCAAGACAAATTCCTTGTGTGTCCACTCACACTTGGCCAATAAAGAATTCTATTTCTATTCTATTTCTATTCTATTCTACATTCTATTCTATTTTATCTTCTATTTTATTTTATTTTAGTTTTGGTCCATTTTGCGAGCTATTCTGTTCATCTGTTCATCTTGCCCCAGTGGTGGAGTGTAAATCATTTCAGTGGTTAACTTAGTAACACGGTTGTGAAGTGGATCTGGTTTCCCCATTAACTTTGCTTGTCAGAAGGTCGCAAAAGGGGCCTGCCCACCTTCTCCCTGGGCCCTTCATCGGTTGCGGGAATTGGGTGTGTAGTGAAAAGAAGGATGAGGGGGTGATTGCATGAT